AACAGATGAGAAACTGCGTGATCAAAGTGAAATAAATCAAACTCAAAGTATCTCAACACAATGAAACATTCCTGAAATCTGTGCTTCCGAGTGAACTCGCGACAAGGAAGATGCATCCGCGTTTCCGAAAATTGCAACAATCGTGTTTTAAGCGCGACGTTTATGCTGAGAAAATATACGCGAGAATCGTATTTCACCCTTCTTTACTATTATTACCCGTTCTTCTAGCTATCACTAATATTAGACGTTAGAATAGTAAAGAGGCTGTCTTTGAAAACCGAGTGCTTCCCGGTAGCTTTAGAAATTCATTTGCCCGAGATATTCGGTCACGTGGACCTCGCTCTCTCGCGAGAATAAAACGATTGCCTTGGAACTTTCTCACTGAGATCACTTTTATAATTTTTTTTCAAATTTTACATATCTATCGTATGTTACAAATTGCCAGTTAATATCAGTATCAATGAAACATAAATTAAAGATCATTTTTATGCATCGTCGAAGGTTTCCTTAAATCTAGATTACATTAACCTTTTCGATACCACAAAACTGTGTAGGAAGTTCTAGACATAACTGAATAGATGATAACGTCGCAATCGATATTTCCAGTGTTTTGTAACAGCTGCTGCGCTGCGGTACGTTCAAGCTCAAATCGAAGTGATAGAAAATTCCGTATTAAACGACGTAACGTCGGGCGTTTATTTTTGAAAAGCAACACCTTCCAAGAAATCGAGCATTGTTGCAGACCTCGAGAGAGAAAAAGAATTTCTACCGTTTGTATTACGTGCGTATGGTATCGAACGTTTGTACAAATAATTTTGTCAATTAATTCTGCCAAGCAGGGATAATATCACGAATTTCTGTCATAAGAAGAATTCAAAAGTTCCCATTAATTCTAGAGAAATGGAAACAGTTATTATCGGCTAAAAGTATTTGTAACTTTTATATAGGGAAAAGATAGACTGTGCTACGAAAGTGAAGAATTAAGAATATAGAATGTATTGTACAGAGATGTAAAAACTATCTTGAATTTATGTTTCGTTCGCATTATTAACGCGTGGTATATTTTTACAATGTAAAACAATACAGAAAGAATTTTCAGGATTGGTTACAACGTCTCAAGGAACGAACGAACCGACTCGACATGTTTGTTAGAAATTTAACACGACAAGTAATTTACATTTTCGCAGATCGTGTGCGCGTGCGTGTATTAAACGATCGTGACTCACGTGTCTTTCATTGAAATGAATCATTCATAGAGACGTCATTATCCATATTGTAATGACATATCTCTGAAATTCAGACAATTTCTCGTGCCCTTTATGCAAGCATTGCACAACCTGGGCTTTTCCTAACACAATGACGTCCTGCTTTTCATCGGTTTTATTAACATTAAAATTACCAAAGTGATGATCGAAATGATCAAACTTTCTAATTCTATAGATGTACTTTTGTAGACTTGAACGAGCTTTCGTAAAGTAAAACTTTTTTTTCTATTTTAACATCTCTGATGGAAATGTTACGCTCTAATCTAGTTTCATAACGTGGAATGTAAATTTACGAGAGATAAAAAGAAACATCTAATGCTGCACAGAATATTATATTATACGAATCTAAATATAATACCAAATATAATATTCAATGTTACCGTGGATCCCACACGATTTCGCATTCATTGAAATTAAAATGAGGACGTTGATTGAAATTCAAATGAATATTATAATAACGCCGCCGAACGCTTGTAATTATTACAAAAGCAAAACACGATTGAAGACACGTGAGTGTTTTTTTTTTTTTTTCAGTCTGGGGAAACAATCTAAGAGGAAAATCACGTGCTGTAATGCTCGAGTTCTAAAATCGATCCACGATCGATAAACTAAACGGCGTTGCACTTCGCGAGTGATTCGTGCACTCGAAGTAACGAAGAAATCATCGAACAGTCGCGTGGCACATTGATACCACTCAACCCCTGAGGTTAAAATGATCGAGTGGATCATTCAGGAGCCACGCTGATCGACTCTGTCGATTAAGTGACAAAGAGATGATGCTCGATCACGCTACAAGCACTTCTTAATATCCATTATAGTTCGAAAGCTTGTAGCTTCATTTGTGTCGTCTGTACAGTAGACAGGATCGTTATTTTAAATTAAAATTTTAAATTCAGTGGAATTAACCATTGATAGTCTTCGTGCATTTTTGCATGCTTTAAGTATCCCACAGATCATTAAATATTCGTAGTCTAGCAATTAGAATATTATCTAATGATGACGAGGCAGAACGATCGTGGGAAAAAATTGGAAAGAAAAAAAGCGTAACGAAAATACATACAATGACGTGGGTACAGTCTTTTCAATTAACTTACTAAGTATCTTATGCGCTACAACAATTAGTTAAATCTGTACAATCTCTAATCTATATTAAATTATATATTTCAATAGTCATTATTAAGTTTTATTGCCAAGACAGAGATATCACATTTGATCAGAAAAAAATCATGCTCATGTTCAAGCTGCAGTTCGCAAATGCCTACACCGTGTTTCTGGCAGATAGTTCCTTGGTTATTCGCGATTTCCTTCGGAGCGGTGCCGCGGGTCGCGTCTCTTCCCCCACCGTGGCGTTGGCGCGCAACAAACGGAGAACTTTGGCCCAGATAAAAAGCTGGCGGCCAGGAATCAGGCACGTAGACCACGTTTAGCAGTCGAGCGACGTACACGCGCCTCGAGGCTCAGCGTACGCTCGAAACTTCGACTTCGACTTTCGATCGTCGACATCGTTGCACGTGCTCTGGTCGCGGCAGTTTCGCGTTCACTTATTATAACTTGGTCTTAAAACGCCAAGACGCAGTCTGTAAAATTAATCCGTGAATCAACTAAATAATACTGAATACTACAGTGAAATTGTTGGGATTGCTTTGAACTCGAAGATTGAAAATTGACCGGATTCTTTCCTCTGACAAACGTCGTAGAAGCCAAAGACTATATATACGCTACGAAAGGAACTGTGGTCTCGATCTCTCTCTCCCCCGCGCCAAAGACTTTTGATTTTAAATTAGATTAACGTAGAACAAGTTCAAATCATCGACCGATCGAGCGAGTTAAACTCGATCGAATACGTAAAGTAAAAAGACTTTGTGAAGGTAGCATAGTAGAAAGTGCGATCGGAGATTTTGGAGGAGGTGAAAGTGAAGGGATTCAGGCGGTTTGCCCGGCAGCGTGCCTGGTTTTTAATTCAAAGAAGTTGTAATTAGAGAAGATTTGGAAAGATGGTTCAACAGACGGACACTGAGCTCACCACCGGAAACGTGGACGAGTACGCCAGGTATTTTAATTACCTGAGGACACTGGCGGACCTCACTGCCATGGCTAGCATCGTAGCTGTCCAGGTAATTGAATATTTCAGGCGACTCGGGGAAATTTCGACTGCTAGATGTATAACGTGTAGAGAATTTTAATCGATGAAACTATAAGTCTTCTCAGATTTTGCAAATTCATTGCGATCGATTAAAAGAAATTATTCAATCACGATTGAATGACGCAGTCGTAGAATTTATTCTTTTTCATTTCATGGTGGAATTATTACACGTTCGGAAACGTTGGAAATTCGGAATCTTGCGCGTAGAATAATTTGTGTAAATTTGTTTTTCTCTCAAAGGTCGCACTTTTTTTTTGGAAATTTTGTCGACAGATTACTCTACAAACGATGACCGACCTAAATACTGATTGCGAATACTTTAATAAAAGCATCCGGATTGCTTGACGAAGTGCAAATTTGTATTTCGTCTCGTGAAATATCGGCTGATTGTGAGTCTAGCAAAACTGAATTCTGAGAAACATACAGCTGATCGACAACTTCTGAGAATCGTATCAGAACGATGCGAATCGTTATTCATAAATTTTCATTCCCAATCAAATCTTGGTTTGCCAATCAAGATTCTGTAATAGATAACGAAATGAAAATTCTTAGATATCGTTAGATCACTTTTTGAGGATTTGCGATTGTCGAAGATATCGCAATTAGCGATAAAACAGAGTATTTTTAGTAGGTAATAATTTTGAAAAGACATTCAGTATTTATTTCAAGACAATTCGATAAACGATTATGCTCTCCGAGAATTGCGCGGGAAATTAAATTATTTCGACACGATCTTCAATTAATTTTACTAATTTTTAATTTTGTTCTCCGCGACTCTGCGAATAAATAATTACTTCAGTTAAACTTGGATGAAGTTATATGAATGAAATTAAACCATTTAAATAATTTTTCCACTCACCGTACAAATTTTTCAACAATTGGAAATGAAATGTAACCCATCGTTTCGATGTGTCGTTCAAATTAAAAAAAGATGTGTTAATCCAGACGAATCACTATAGATTATCATGGGAATTATTGTTTGATCCCGATCGATCTGGATCGCTTAAAATTAGCTTTCTAGAAGAGCACCTTTCTTGATAAAGTCACACGTTACACAAAATCGTCTTCGAATTCCTCGACAACAATTCCATTAATCACCTACGAAAGAAGAATTTGTGATCTATTAGAGAATCAGTAAAATCAGTAAAATGAATTGGGAATTATTTCCCAACCAAAAAGTTAAAAACTTCGATTCTAAGAGCGAAGAGAGTACAGTTACATTACATTGACAATATTTATTCACTCTATCATGAGCTGTCATTTTTTTTTCTAATTAAATATTCGTGCTACTTTGAAAACGCCAAGTGCAAATGTTTGTAAGGAATTTAATCGCCAAGGAACGACGATCTGTGAAAAAAAAAAAAATCTATTGAGAATCATGAAACGCACGAAACGTTGCCGAATGTTCCAGAGTAATTTCCGAGGGAAATTTCCACGGATCAAGTATTCGCGATAAAGGAAGGTAACACGCCATCACTGAGGATTTGGAAATCGTCGAAATCTCGTGGCATGTATGTGTGACGCGAGATTAACGCCTCGTTGTAACGATCGACATCTCGACGAGCCTCACAAGGTCTTTCAATGCCGCGGAATCAGGGCAAGGTGGCGCGAAAAGATCGATCCATCGACATATACTTGTAAAACCGTATACACACGTGTGTAATCTCTCGAGCAAGCTGCAATCACAGCCAACTGATACCACCTTTCCATTATAAAATCTGCTACTCTTCTTTACAAAATTTCTAACTACTACGTTTCTCATGTTTTTTTTTTTTTTTTTTTTTTTTTCTAAAACGAAAGTATCAAGTTTATTACGTAGCCCCTTTATGTTATGAAGAAACAAAATTATGTAAG